AGTTGCAGGTAACTGATGCTCTTCTGCTCCACATCCAAGTAAGGGTAAAGCATCTCAGGACCAACCTTTTACAACAATCCAGGAAGGAATGGAGTTGTAAACAGAAAAAGCTAAAAGATGCGGTTTCCAAAACTGACTGTGATCCATGTGACGCAGTATCTCTTTCTCCCAGGAGTCTGGAAAGCCCCAGAAGCCAGGAAGCCCTGGTCTGTGTACATAATATAACTGCCCTCAAACCTTGGCCCTTGGAAACCTCAAGTCTTGGGCAGACCGTCAGGAACCCTCGCTCTCTACAACTACCTGAAAGGGATTGTGGCGACATGGGTGTTGGCCTCTTCTCCCAAGTAACTAGCGACAGAACTGGAGGAAATGGCCTCAAGTTGCACCAGGGGAGGTTTAGATTGGATATTAGGAAAAATTTTTTCACCAAGAGAATGGTCAAGCATTGGAACAGGCTGCCCAGGGAGGTGGTGGAGTCACCATCACTGGAAGTGTTCAAAAAATGTGTGGATGTGGCGCTTCAGGACATGGTTTAGGGGTATGGTGGTGTTGGGTTAATGGTTGGACTTGATGACATCGAAGGTCCCTTCCAACCTTAATGATTCTGTGATTCTGTGAACCCAGGCATGTTTCCATGAAAAATCTATGACTGGAGTAGACTCCACTGAACCAGAAAATTTCCACAAAAATGCCTGTGGTTTATCAAGTTCGTATCTAACTCTGTTTTGTCAGACTATCAGGAAAGCATTAGTGCTGCACTTCACACTAAGTTAGCATCCCTTCATGGCAAACTTCTTGCCATATTGGCTCTTCACGGGCCCTGCCAAATGGCCTACAGTTCATGAAATATGTGAACTATGCCTACATGCAGTTCTGGTTCATACTGAACTTTTATATCAGGCTGTACTACAGATCTGAATTGATACAAATCTTCTTTGTCTAGATCAATAGTTCCTCCTAGTACAAGCATCCATCTGAAAAATAATCTTAAAAAGCAGCGTTCAAGCAAGCACCTAGGCTGAATCCTGAAGGAAACCTATTGGCTCTATTGAGGCCAGGATTTACCTTGTGTAATGGCAATCCAGCAAAAAACAGCCTAGGTAGGCAACAGAAGCTGGACAGAATCCCACGTTTGAAAGAGGGGAATGCTTGGTTATAAGAATTCAAGCATAGCCACTATGGTCTCCAATTGCTTTTTAAAAAATAATTGTTTTGAAGCTAATGTATTTTTGATACAATGTTATTCTGTTGCCTGTTTGTAAAACCTGAAAGATTTCTTCAGCCAGGTTCAACCTTTAAAGCTACTTACAGGATAGGTTCAAATCCATAGCAAGTCACACAAAGCCTAGGTTGCACATCTTAGCCCCCTGTCAATGCTGGTGATAAATCAGTGCTATCCATATTGCTAACTCATGGTCTTATCTTGATCGCACTAAAATCACAGGCAAATGTAAGCACGGCTTGTCAACTTTTATACTGAAGTCTGAGTCCTTAGAGAATAGATGCCAACCACAGAACCAAAGACGCTTCCTTTTTGATTGATGCTATAACATCTTTACCCTGTATGTTTTATATTGCTTCCACTGATATACTATGAATGCCAGAAAGAAAAGCTCAGATTGAACCCAGTTAATTAAAAGGATTCACACAGATGGTTTGCCTGGTACTTTACAGAGGCAGCTAATTAAAGCAATGTTAGTCAGCACCATTAAAATGCCAGATAAAGCTTTGGGAACAATCCTGATTAGGAAGCAAGGTTTACAAATAGAGCTTTGAGCAAGGCAGTATATTTGCAGTTAATTAATCTCATTCTAACATATCTTAACTAAGGCACAGAATAATGCATGCTGATGTCAATATTAATGCCAAGATTTTTCAAAGTTCAAGCCTGGCACTTATTAAAACAATCCACAATGACTCTAATTTCACATTCTGCAGGAAAATATGATATCATGAGGGAGTTTGAACTCCTCTAATTATCCATGATTTCAAGAGCACTAGAAAAGAAACCAAGGGAAGTCCTAGTTGTAGAAAGTCAGTCACACACTAGCAAAGACACAGAGAGAGAAAAACTGCACCAGACAGAAGTTATATTTAGACATGCAATATAAACAAAGCTTCCTTGCAGTTTTAGACAGATGCTGTGTTTGGAGAGCATCAGTTGCCTTCTCCAATATGCTGTCTCCAATATATGACTGTATATATTTTTTTGCAATAACCGTAATGTGGTCTTGATCTGAAAACTTCTAAACCTTATTTTATGCAACCAAATAGGCCCATTCACTTAATATGCTAAAAGATAATCAAATGCATAGGTATGTGCAGCATAGGACCTAAACCATGGTCTTACGCCCTGTAGTTGAAGCTGACTTTTCTTACAATTAAGTCTTCGAAATAGCAATCGAATTTCATCCCATATCCCAAAGATAGGCAGACGTACATGTGTTTTGGGCTGCATGTTATGATTTAGCTGTTATAGGCCTAACTTCTGTGACCAACTTAAAAGAAATACAGATGAAAACAACTACCTACTGCAACTCTCCACTGTCATTTTTCCAAGCAATGAAAGTTTCACCATCCTCCTTCCCCTACTTAGAAGCCACAGTTTAAAGGCATTTGGTCATTTCCTAGCCAACTGAGCAATGTGGCATATACTAAGGTAAATCTGCAGTAAAATTTACTCTCTTCATCCAATACTCTGAAGAGTCATGATGTCTCATGTCAATGAGAGTCATTCAAGTACTGGTCCTTGCAAATGTCAGACCACAAGCCAAACACTGCTTTTGGACAGGCATCCCACATGGGCACAGCAATGTCCTGCAGAGGCTGCATGAACAGGGCCTCACATACAGACAAGAGCCGTCTGTATTCTCCTTTCATTTCATTTCATTTCATTTCATTTCATTTCATTTCATTTCATTTCATTTCATTTCATTCACATTTCTTTCCGGCTCTACTGCTCTTCCAGTTGCCCAAGGGGCAAGGGGATAACTAAAGGTTTGGCAATCTCTTTTTCTGCTTTCTGCAAGGTGACTCTCGGAAAGCCCAAGAAACTATGGTGACATAAATTTTGGAAGGTAGTGCAGTCCTGAGAAGCGCCTCTTTACTCATGTTTTTCAACATTTGTGCCTAATGGGACCGTAGCTGAATTTGTCACTTGAATCTTTTGCTGATGACTCTCAAAGGTTGTGTCTTAATTAAAGCATACATCTTGCCATTCCAGAAAGTGTATTACTAGCAAACCATACAGAAAGTACCAAAAGCACTGCATTTCTATGCCAAGCACAGGTGTTGTCAAAGCTCTGTACTATTTGTCAGATTTTAGAAAGGTATCATTAAACACACTTGATTGTACTGAAATAATGACGTATTTGGTGCTTCAAAGGAGGAAGTGCAAATGCTGTGTCTGTCTCGAGGAGAAATGAAATGTCAGGCAAGGAACCCCAAATGGCTAACTTCTCCAGACGTTCTCCTGCAGATTATTCTTTGCTGACCCACTAGACTCTCAAATACTGTGTGTTCCACAGCCAGATTTGACATTTACCATTCAAAATATTATTAATATTCGATGGACCAATGTAAGTATATGCTCTTATGGAAAACTCTTAAGTGTCAGTGTTTAATGCCAGTGCATGCCAGCAGAACACTGCTCTTTCACTTGAGCTCCCAGGTGAAAAATGTGCATTCTGTGGTGGCACAGTTTCACAAAATCATCTCCCCAGGTTTATCAGATAGATAATGAAAAGGGCTACAGCAAAACCTGAATTTTTAGGTCAGGTTTCTTTTACATGAAATCCCAGACCCACGGAATGATATTTCAGCTGCATTCCTAGAAATTTGCAGTGATTCGGGCTCCAGAGAACAAATGGTCCACTGTTACTTCCAAAGAGCTCTTGTTCAAAATGCCTCTTCCCATGCCGAGATGCTAAATTCATGTGAATGTAAACGTATAGGGCCAGATTCACTGCCCTATAGGTATCAAGTGACTTAAATTTCATAGGTGAAGTATAATCCCTTTGCACAGTTTGTCAACTGCTAATAGTTAAACAATCTGGGGGATGTTTTAACATAAGGTAGAGATAGCTGTATGTCTTAGAAGAAAATTTAACCCACGTGGTGCAGAACTCAATACGATCTTCAGTTGAAACAGGAGGTTTCAGGGTTGAATTGACACTGCTATCTTGTGCACTTTGTCATGTGCACTGAGTTCTGCAAACAAAATGCACTCATTTGCACATCTGACGTTACAGTGCATGTCAGAGAAAAATCAGCTTTTGAGTGGCTTTTGAAGCCTGCCTTTGACAAGTTTTGCCCATTTTGAAAACAAGAGCAGCAATGAATTGTGAAGGCTGCTAGGAACAAACACTTGCATAATACATAGTTTTCGCTTGATACAGTTCCATCATCATTACCACTGCTTCTCTACCGGAAGGTTTGTGCCTGTGGATGGCATGGAATCATGCATGCCCTATGGGACAACCTGCTAACCTGCAACTAAGTCTTCTATGGGCTACACCACTACTAATCATTAATGTAATGATACTAGTACTAAGAAGGGGGAAACCGTGCTAGAACAGTGCTATTGATAGTGGGGGGTCTGTGTATATACAGGACCTAATGCCATCTGCATTAAAACATTAAAAAGCCATGTAAATATAACAAGTGGGCACATAACTGCACCTGTCTATCCCAATATCAAATGCTACAGCAGGCAGAGCAAGAGAAAATACAGCAGCATGCGACATGGCCATCAGTGCTCGCATTGCAGTTGATCATCCACATCCTAAGATTAACTGGGACAGTCAACTCCAAGTGTGAATTATTAAAATTCAGCAAAATAGCAGCATGAGAATATCAGTTATGCTTTATAGTATGACAAAACTTGTACTTTTATGATAAAGAGAAATGAGGGAGAAGGAAAGCTTTTCATACCCTGTATTTGTGATATTGCGAGTTATCAAGAACATTTGCATGAAGTGTTCCTTTCCTGTTGCTTCCAGAAGACTCCCTTTTCTCAGTAAGCAGCAAAATCACCGGGAAATCCTGTGAATACAATGGCACCACCTACAACCACGGCGAAATGTTTGTGGCAGAGGGGCTTTTCCAAAACAGGCAAGCAAACCAGTGTGCCCAGTGCAGCTGCTCAGTAAGTAACATGATTTGAGAGCCCTGCTCTGTCTATGCTTCATTTCTCCTTTCTAGAAGACATAAGCAATACATAGCAAAGGCTGGGAATTGAGAATTAATGTTGAAACTCATGAGAGTGCTCAGAGCCAGTCTGCAGCACCTGGTAAATGCCAGCCTACCTCTTACTCAAACACAGCGGACAAAGCTTACCCTGTCAAGCATCTGCTCTAAGTGAGCTTACAGTGCAGAGGCAGCAGGTAAAATACTGCTACTTGGCATATATAGAATATTTCACTTCAACCTGACTGGAAAATATAGCACTAAGCCAATGACTGAAACTGAATTCATTTGGACTGAGCTGATAAGTAAAGAGCCCCACAGGCTGGGAATGGACAGCTCTGTAAACTGGCACTAGGCCACAGTGTCATTCCTGAGATGTCACCAGTTCAAATCCAGTATATTTGAGCAGTCACCCAGTGACTCTTCAGAGCCAGTGCTAGAACCAAAACATCCCTCTCAATCCAACCAGCTCTTCAGTATCAAGTATTGGCAATTCTGGGCTTCCTCTGATCAAGTCATCATCGTATTTTACATCATTAACTACAAATTTAACAGGTCAAGTACTGAACAGGTTTTATGACTTTTAGTTACTGCTAAGCTATTCCTCCAGGTCAATGGTAAGACACACCTGAGGGAGAACAGGGGGAAGAATTTACACCGGGTGATTTTAGTGCCAATGTCAGGTACATTTTCAGCCTACAATAATTGCAGTTCTTCTCCCCACACACTTTTACCTCTTCCCTTTTCCTCATGTTTTTTTAAAGGAAGGGACCTTCCAACAAAAAAAATTAAAAAAGCTATTCAGACTTTTCATTGCTCTAATATTCTGCTTTTGCATACTAGAGTGGCATTTATGTAAACACATATACTAGACTTAAGCATGTCCATGAAAAATGCATATACAGGATCAGACGAATCGATGACTCCTAAATGGTCCTTGTGTTTTACTGGCAGGAAGGAAATGTGTACTGTGGGTTGAAGACTTGTCCCAAATTAACTTGCTCTTTCCCAGTTTCTGTTCCGGAGTCCTGCTGTCCAGTTTGCAGAGGTAAGTTCAAGTACAACCA